ACGGATTTCTTGCTTGTTGGGATATATAATTGCTTTTGATCATGGAGTTGGTTGCATACATTGACGGACATAACACTATGGAGAAAACCTATGCAGTAGCGGCCACATTCCTGCAGAAATTTTCGACGGGTTCCATCTGGTGTCGACGTCTCAAAGATGTCCCTCTTGTGTAAGAATTGACTAAAATTCTCCAAGGTACTAAACGAGATTTGTAGAAAATTTTTAGTCACTCCTAGTCATGAGTGATTGCGGTGAAATCTCTGGGACAGACCGCAGGTCTCCATTTTTCCCACCAAGGCTGTTGGCAACTCCGCTCTTCACCGTCCCAGGCTTTCAAGGAGAAAGCCGTCGGTTGCTTTATCTGTCGGTGTCCCATGTATCTAAACGGGCCAGGCATATCATCGTTTTCAGTTTTCGTATGTTTTATTAGTGGGTATCCGCTCCGCAGGGGTTCCCCATCCTACGGAACGCTAGCCTATCTTCGTTGCCTCCTGTGGTTACCTTTTTAAAGAATAGTAGGCGTATCGTTCCCGGAATAAGCCTGATAATTTTTCGGTAGCTTCTGGTCTGCCCGACTGTGAGTTGGTTCTTATAGACCGAAAATCGCATCAGGATATTAATCTCTCCGGACAATACTGCCGTCCGCCTCTTCCGTTGTCGATGATTTCAGCTGAAACTAGTAGGTATGGTACACGCTCTTTATCATGTCTCAATCGGCACACCCCCGACAAGTTGGAACTTTATCCTAACGGCAATGGTTTGCAATCCACGTTTGAGGTTACAGGTTTCTAATCCATAAAAATGTGAAATCGAAAGTTAGCTCGTAGTGGTAATTATTTCTCAGTGGCGCCTCGAGTGAGGCCTTAACATCGGACTGCATTTTGTCAGTGATATCAAGGACCAGCACGCCTGGTATCTGATGGGTGCGGTGATACGCAGAATTGCCGCTGGATCGGATGCGCTCGGACACAATCGAGGGGGCTTTGGAGGCGTCAAAATTCCTACAATGAAAATGTGCATAGAGTAGCGGCTGAATGATGGTTGAGAAAATAGTTACGTAAAAACAGCTTCCCTCTTTTCAGTGACGCTTATAAAGATAAAATCGGTCCTACGCAATGGGATCTGAATCCATAAAATACCCGTCCACTGGAGGAGCCACGGCGGTCTGGATTCCCAAATCATAGAACTGAATAACCGTCTTCGCAGCCGAAAGACTTGGGACAGAGGACGTTAGATGGTTGTCCATGAACAAAAGTTTGCTACCAACAATCATTCAGTCCGCTATTTTTGTGTTTGCACCTTTCAGAGCTTTCGAAAGAAGTGCCAGTTTTTCATCAGTTGTCCCGATTAAAACGCGACGTCCGCGCTGGTCCTTCCTAATTGGAATTGAAGACCTGACTTCTTTGACAAATGTCTTGCTGGGTGTAAAATGCACCATTTCGCCATTTTACGGATGATCCGACGCACCTTCTCCCGTATTACTCGCATGGACTTCCAAATACTCTATGGACCTACGTCAGACCGCTCCTGGAATACGCCAACCAAGTTGTCTACCCAGGACGCACAAAAGACGTCAGCCTCATTGAGCGTGTCCAGCGGGCCGCTACGAGAATTGTTGCCGGCCTCAAATCCGTGGACTACGAAACGCGTCTCGCGATGCTTGATCTCTTTCCTCTGGAGTACCGTCGCCTCCAAGGAGACCTAATTCTTACTCATGCCCTGTTTGAACAAAGCTTGGCAGACAGGTTTTCCATCGTTGACCTATCAAACACACGGGGGGATGTGGTAAGAAAAATTTCAGGCTCAGAGCACACACATTCATTAGACAAAATGTTTTCTCATTTCGGGTAGTAG